GTTATTTCTTTATTGTTTAGTTAATTACCATATCAATATTTATACGGTACGATATTAAGATACAATATTTGTTACTTTGGTTTTTAACCTTTAAATCATAATGTTGTGATATTTTTGTTTAAATTATATTTAAATTGTTGTGATATTTTATAAAAGTGAGGTAATGTTTTGCTAACACGTGAAAAGCAATGAAAAAAGTATATACAGAATAAAAACCGGAAGCAAGAGAGAGCTTTTTAACATAAAATAAGTGTTTACAAAACCAATAAAAGTTTCTATCCCAAAAACGTAGTATTAGGATGTTACAAAAATGTTTAAACAAAAGCGTAATATTCAACACTCCTTCTCGCTTTTTTTATTACAAACTTTAGCTAGACCATATTGGCTTATTAACATTTCAAACTTAATTTTACTAAGAGATTTTGTAAGAGCATCCGCAAGTTGTTTGTTGCTTTCGACATACTTCATGTCAATTTCACCAGTAGCTTGCATATCACAGGAGTAAAAGTATTGTATAGCGATGTGCTTAGTTCGCTTTGATGAATCTGGATTCTTCACTAACTCTATTGCCTTTTGGTTGTCACAGTTAATAATAGTAGCACCATATTGTTTGCAATTTACATCGCTTGTAAGCTTGCGCAACCATACAACTGCTTTTGTTGCTGCACAAATTGACAAAAACTCTGCTTCAGTAGTGGATGTTGCAGTTACACTCTGTCGCCTAGAACTCCAACTAACTGGACCACCATTTATGAATGCAATCCAAGCAGAAATGCTGCGACGGGTATCACTATCATTGCCCCAATCTGCATCGCAATACATGACGAGCTCAGTATCACTTGAATTGAGGTTAAATGATACACCATACTCAAGTGTGCCCTTTATATATCTAAAAACACGCTTAACTCCTTGGCAATGAATTTCAAATGGATTTTCAAGGAAACGACTCAATACGCCTATCGCGCATGTTATATCTGGCCTTGTACACACCATGAGGTACATTAAAGAACCAATCGCCTCCCGATATGGAAATTTTGCTTTCGGACCATCTATAGTAGATTTCGAAAAATGTTTGCCCATTTCTGTAGGTGTTGAAACTGCAAAACAATTAGAATAATTAAAACGTTCTAATATTTTTAAAAGGTAAATATTTTGAGAAATAATTAGTCTTAATTAGATCTTAGATAATTAGATAATTAGATCTTAATTTGCATTCCGACAAAATATTCAGCATCTTTGTAGGTAATTTCAAACTCGGTATGAAGTTTGTCCAACAAATTCTGAATGAGACCACGATTTTTGCCACATATAAGACCGTCATCGACATACAATAACAGATACATAACGTCGTTGCCGAAATTATACTTAAATACGCATTTATCAGCCCAAGCTTGCTTAAAGCCAAAATTCTCCAAAAATTCAACGATTCGCCTATTCCACTGCCTGGAAGCCTGCTTCAAACCGTATAAACTCTTTTGCAGTTTACAAACTCTGCTGTCCTGCTGATAACCATAAGGCTGTTGCATGTAGATGTCTTCTTGTATATAACCATGTAAAAATGCGGTTTTTACATCAAATTGAATTAAATGCATGCCTTGCGCTGCTGCAATGGCTAATACTGCTCTCACTGCCTCATATTGGACAAGCGGCGAATACACCTCCGTGTAGTCTACGCCCTTTATTTGAGAACAACCTCTGACCACTAATCGTGCTTTATATTTTTCAATTTCACCATCAGAGTTATATTTTCGCTTGAAAATCCATCGGTTAGTCATAACGTGCATGTCATTTGAAGGCTCAATTAGTGTCCAAGTTTTATTCTTGTGCAAAGTGTCTAATTCATCTTGAATCGCTGCCGTCCATTTAGTTGAATCTTCGCTATTTAGGGCTTCATCTAAATTTGCTAGTTCAAATTATACCATGCAGACCTCAGCATTTATTTCTTGTTGCTCACTAGCTTTCTGCTTGGTAGCACTTCTCGTTTCGTATGCGTCTCTGTTACTTTCATATATCTGTAGAAAAGTTATTTGTTAATTTATAAAATTATTCATCAACACTGATAAGGTTAATTTCACAAAGTTTATAAGTTTATAATTATTCAAATCGAGAAAAATATAGAAAACTATTCATCAACACTGATAAGGTTAATTTCACAAAGTTTATAAGTTTATAATTATTCAAATCGAGAAAAATATAGAAAAGTATTCATCAACACCGATAAGACACCAGCTTAACTTCTTACTAGTACACCAGCTTAACGACGACTACTTTTCTCTTGCACTCAATACTCGCAGCTAGCCCTCTGCATGCAAACTCGTTTGAGTGCATACTTCACTGTTTACATACCTTTTTCTGAAATTTTTTGTTGTTTTCATTTTTTATTTTTTCTTCTTCTTCTTTTTCATCTGTTACGTTGTTTTCGTCATAAATTGTTTGTTTTAATTCGCAATATTCGTTGTACACGTTGTATCTCTCATCAAATTTGACATCTCTTCTGATGTAAACTCGTTTAGTTTGAGCATCGTATACCCTGTACACCTTACTAGAATCATTATATCCAACCATAACACATTTTGTTGCATTTTTCTCCCATTTGGTGCGCTGATCTTTGGAAATAAAAACATAGGCGTCGCAACCAAAAACTCGTGCTTAACTGTAGGTTTCTTTTTAAACCATTCCTCATAAGGTGTAGAACCTTTTAGAACTTCAGTTGATGTTCGATTTTTAAGATAAACTGCTGTATTTGTTGCTTCACCCCACAGGTACAATGGAAGGTCTCTTGCATGTAACATGGCTTTGGCACTTTCAATAATAGTTCTGTTTTGACGTTCGATAAAACCATTTTGTTCTGGTGATCTCGGAGTAGTAATTTCATGTTTGATGCTGTGCTGTAGTAGAAATTTTTCGACATCATCATTACAAAACTCTAAACCACCGTCTGAACGTGATCTTTTAATTTTATGTCCATCAGATTGAACATCTGCAATAAACTGCATAAGTTTCCCAATAACTTTGTTTTTCAAAAAATATACAAAACAGTATCTGGAGTAATCGTCTTTCAACAACATAAAATAGTTTGCTCCACCAATTGACTGCGTGCTCATTTTTCCACACAAATCAACGTGAAAAGTTTCAGCAGTATGCTGCGCACGATTTGCACCTGTTTTTGGAAAAGATTCCCTGTGCTGTTTGCCGTATGTGCACCCTTTACAAAAAGGCATTTCTTTTGGAATGGATCCAACCTTCAAATCTGAAATAATATTTTTATTAATCATTTCTCGTAACGTTTTGAAATTTACATGTCCTATTCGTTCGTGCCAAAGTTTAATTGACTCAGAACAAACGACATTAAGTTCCACAAACGCTGCTGCAAGTGGCTTCAAATTCAATTTGTACAGCCCGCTATGTTCGTTGCCTTCTGCGATCATTTTATTGTTTTTCATAAATAACACACGTCCTGTTCCTTTTTCAAATTGCACATCCATTGATTTAGCTGCTTTTGATATAGAAATAAAATTTTTATCAAGATCAGGTACTAATAACACATCGTTAATTGTGTATACAGCATCAGCAACTTCTACTTTTATTTTTCCTTTTCCAGCAACACTTAATTTTCGCCCATCACCAACTCGAACATGATATACTGCATTTGGCAATTCAATATAATTCATAAATAACTCCCTCTGAAACGACATGTGATCAGTAGCTCCAGAATCTGCATAAAATATATTTAAATTTTTGCTTTCAGTACTTGAACTTTTATGTAGAACAAATAAATGTGCATTTCTATTGTCAACTGTATTTGTCATTTCATCATTTCCTTCTTTTCGTACTACGAGTGAGTGTCTTTCACTTTTGGTGTATTGTTCTCTTTGTTTTTTACGGCATTCTCTTGCCCAGTGACCTTCTCTTTGACAATAATTGCACTTACCTTTGCGTTTGATGTTGTTGTTATTTGTGATATTTTTACCTGATTTTGCTATATACGCAGATTTTATTGTACTATTTTGTTGAGTGTCAGCTGAACGTAAATTCATAAGCGCCTCTTCATTTACTAAATGCTCTGTCAGTTTTTCAACTTTCTGATCGTTTTTTGAAACAGCATACCAAGCAGTGCGTATATGATCAAACTTTGCAGGAAGTCCACTTAAAATCTTTGCTATTATCATCGGCTCTTTTTGTTCAAGATCTTTATCTTTCAAACGTTGCGCTAGTGAAGTTATTGATGCAATAAAGTCAATCATATTTTCTTCCTTACCCATCTTACATTTAATGAATTTTTCCAACAGTACTGCGCTGATTGGTCACTTTTCTCTGAATTAACAGTTTGCAATCTGAACCACATTTGTGCAGCTGTGTCGCAATCACTCAAATATTTAAGTTGATCTAGTTCGATACCTCTCATTAAGAATGCTTGTGCTTCAGCATCTTTTTCGTCTCAAACTGTTGCGTTAGCCGTGGTTCTAATTTCAGTGCCAAATATATACCTTTTAAGTTTATTTTCTGTCATGTAGATGATCATTTCCCGGCGCCATAGCTGGTAGTTCTGACCATTAAAGCGATGAATCTGATATGACTTCATTTCTGACATATCGACAGAATGTTCACTGATTGTTGTGTCAAGAATTACAACCTCAATTGAATCGTTTAAGTCGTTTCCAATAGCTGAGTCGGCTACCAAAGTACTTTGTATTTTCTGATGCGAGTCTTCCATACGAAAATCAAAAAAAATATCGATGATGTTACCTTAGCACACTGGGCCCATAACCTATTGTGATATTTTTGTTTAAATTATATTTAAATTGTTGTGATATTTTATAAAAGTGAGGTGATGTTTTGCTAACACGTGAAAAGCAAAGAAAAAAGTATTACAGAATAAAAACCGGATGCAAGAGAGAGCTTTTTAACATAAAATAAGTGTTTACAAAACCAATAAAAGTTTCTATCCCAAAAACGTAGTATTAGGATGTTACAAAAATGTTTAAACAAAAGCGTAATATTCAACACTCCTTCTCGCTTTTTTTATTACAAACTTTAGCTAGACCATATTGGCTTATCAACATTTCAAACTTAATTTTACTAAGAGATTTTGTAAGAGCATCCGCAAGTTGTTTGTTGCTTTCGACATACTTCATGTCAATTTCACCAGTAGCTTGCATATCACAGGCGTAAAAGTATTGTATAGCGATGTGCTTAGTTCGCTTTGATGAATCTGGATTCTTCACTAACTCTATTGCCTTTTGGTTGTCACAGTTAATAATAGTAGCACCATATTGTTTGCAATTTACATCGCTTGTAAGCTTGCGCAACCATACAACTGCTTTTGTTGCTGCACAAATTGACAAAAACTCTGCTTCAGTAGTGGATGTTGCAGTTACACTCTGTCGCCTAGAACTCCAACTAACTGGACCACCATTTATGAATGCAATCCAAGCAGAAATGCTGCGACGGGTATCACTATCATTGCCCCAATCTGCATCGCAATACATGACGAGCTCAGTATCACTTGAATTGAGGTTAAATGATACACCATACTCAAGTGTGCCCTTTATATATCTAAAAACACGCTTAACTCCTTGGCAATGAATTTCAAATGGATTTTCAAGGAAACGACTCAATACGCCTATCGCGCATGTTATATCTGGCCTTGTACACACCATGAGGTACATTAAAGAACCAATCGCCTCCCGATATGGAAATTTTGCTTTCGGACCATCTATAGTAGATTTCGAAAAATGTTTGCCCATTTCTGTAGGTGTTGAAACTGCAAAACAATTAGAATAATTAAAACGTTCTAATATTTTTAAAAGGTAAATATTTTGAGAAATAATTAGTCTTAATTAGATCTTAGATAATTAGATAATTAGATCTTAATTTGCATTCCGACAAAATATTCAGCATCTTTGTAGGTAATTTCAAACTCGGTATGAAGTTTGTCCAACAAATTCTGAATGAGACCACGATTTTTGCCACATATAAGACCGTCATCGACATACAATAACAGATACATAACGTCGTTGCCGAAATTATACTTAAATACGCATTTATCAGCCCAAGCTTGCTTAAAGCCAAAATTCTCCAAAAATTCAACGATTCGCCTATTCCACTGCCTGGAAGCCTGCTTCAAACCGTATAAACTCTTTTGCAGTTTACAAACTCTGCTGTCCTGCTGATAACCATAAGGCTGTTGCATGTAGATGTCTTCTTGTATATAACCATGTAAAAATGCGGTTTTTACATCAAATTGAATTAAATGCATGCCTTGCGCTGCTGCAATGGCTAATACTGCTCTCACTGCCTCATATTGGACAAGCGGCGAATACACCTCCGTGTAGTCTACGCCCTTTATTTGAGAACAACCTCTGACCACTAATCGTGCTTTATATTTTTCAATTTCACCATCAGAGTTATATTTTCGCTTGAAAATCCATCGGTTAGTCATAACGTGCATGTCATTTGAAGGCTCAATTAGTGTCCAAGTTTTATTCTTGTGCAAAGTGTCTAATTCATCTTGAATCGCTGCCGTCCATTTAGTTGAATCTTCGCTATTTAGGGCTTCATCTAAATTTGCTAGTTCAAATTATACCATGCAGACCTCAGCATTTATTTCTTGTTGCTCACTAGCTTTCTGCTTGGTAGCACTTCTCGTTTCGTATGCGTCTCTGTTACTTTCATATATCTGTAGAAAAGTTATTTGTTAATTTATAAAATTATTCATCAACACTGATAAGGTTAATTTCACAAAGTTTATAAGTTTATAATTATTCAAATCGAGAAAAATATAGAAAACTATTCATCAACACTGATAAGGTTAATTTCACAAAGTTTATAAGTTTATAATTATTCAAATCGAGAAAAATATAGAAAAGTATTCATCAACACCGATAAGACACCAGCTTAACTTCTTACTAGTACACCAGCTTAACGACGACTACTTTTCTCTTGCACTCAATACTCGCAGCTAGCCCTCTGCATGCAAACTCGTTTGAGTGCATACTTCACTGTTTACATACCTTTTTCTGAAATTTTTTGTTGTTTTCATTTTTTATTTTTTCTTCTTCTTCTTTTTCATCTGTTACGTTGTTTTCGTCATAAATTGTTTGTTTTAATTCGCAATATTCGTTGTACACGTTGTATCTCTCATCAAATTTGACATCTCTTCTGATGTAAACTCGTTTAGTTTGAGCATCGTATACCCTGTACACCTTACTAGAATCATTATATCCAACCATAACACATTTTGTTGCATTTTTCTCCCATTTGGTGCGCTGATCTTTGGAAATAAAAACATAGGCGTCGCAACCAAAAACTCGTGCTTAACTGTAGGTTTCTTTTTAAACCATTCCTCATAAGGTGTAGAACCTTTTAGAACTTCAGTTGATGTTCGATTTTTAAGATAAACTGCTGTATTTGTTGCTTCACCCCACAGGTACAATGGAAGGTCTCTTGCATGTAACATGGCTTTGGCACTTTCAATAATAGTTCTGTTTTGACGTTCGATAAAACCATTTTGTTCTGGTGATCTCGGAGTAGTAATTTCATGTTTGATGCTGTGCTGTAGTAGAAATTTTTCGACATCATCATTACAAAACTCTAAACCACCGTCTGAACGTGATCTTTTAATTTTATGTCCATCAGATTGAACATCTGCAATAAACTGCATAAGTTTCCCAATAACTTTGTTTTTCAAAAAATATACAAAACAGTATCTGGAGTAATCGTCTTTCAACAACATAAAATAGTTTGCTCCACCAATTGACTGCGTGCTCATTTTTCCACACAAATCAACGTGAAAAGTTTCAGCAGTATGCTGCGCACGATTTGCACCTGTTTTTGGAAAAGATTCCCTGTGCTGTTTGCCGTATGTGCACCCTTTACAAAAAGGCATTTCTTTTGGAATGGATCCAACCTTCAAATCTGAAATAATATTTTTATTAATCATTTCTCGTAACGTTTTGAAATTTACATGTCCTATTCGTTCGTGCCAAAGTTTAATTGACTCAGAACAAACGACATTAAGTTCCACAAACGCTGCTGCAAGTGGCTTCAAATTCAATTTGTACAGCCCGCTATGTTCGTTGCCTTCTGCGATCATTTTATTGTTTTTCATAAATAACACACGTCCTGTTCCTTTTTCAAATTGCACATCCATTGATTTAGCTGCTTTTGATATAGAAATAAAATTTTTATCAAGATCAGGTACTAATAACACATCGTTAATTGTGTATACAGCATCAGCAACTTCTACTTTTATTTTTCCTTTTCCAGCAACACTTAATTTTCGCCCATCACCAACTCGAACATGATATACTGCATTTGGCAATTCAATATAATTCATAAATAACTCCCTCTGAAACGACATGTGATCAGTAGCTCCAGAATCTGCATAAAATATATTTAAATTTTTGCTTTCAGTACTTGAACTTTTATGTAGAACAAATAAATGTGCATTTCTATTGTCAACTGTATTTGTCATTTCATCATTTCCTTCTTTTCGTACTACGAGTGAGTGTCTTTCACTTTTGGTGTATTGTTCTCTTTGTTTTTTACGGCATTCTCTTGCCCAGTGACCTTCTCTTTGACAATAATTGCACTTACCTTTGCGTTTGATGTTGTTGTTATTTGTGATATTTTTACCTGATTTTGCTATATACGCAGATTTTATTGTACTATTTTGTTGAGTGTCAGCTGAACGTAAATTCATAAGCGCCTCTTCATTTACTAAATGCTCTGTCAGTTTTTCAACTTTCTGATCGTTTTTTGAAACAGCATACCAAGCAGTGCGTATATGATCAAACTTTGCAGGAAGTCCACTTAAAATCTTTGCTATTATCATCGGCTCTTTTTGTTCAAGATCTTTATCTTTCAAACGTTGCGCTAGTGAAGTTATTGATGCAATAAAGTCAATCATATTTTCTTCCTTACCCATCTTACATTTAATGAATTTTTCCAACAGTACTGCGCTGATTGGTCACTTTTCTCTGAATTAACAGTTTGCAATCTGAACCACATTTGTGCAGCTGTGTCGCAATCACTCAAATATTTAAGTTGATCTAGTTCGATACCTCTCATTAAGAATGCTTGTGCTTCAGCATCTTTTTCGTCTCAAACTGTTGCGTTAGCCGTGGTTCTAATTTCAGTGCCAAATATATACCTTTTAAGTTTATTTTCTGTCATGTAGATGATCATTTCCCGGCGCCATAGCTGGTAGTTCTGACCATTAAAGCGATGAATCTGATATGACTTCATTTCTGACATATCGACAGAATGTTCACTGATTGTTGTGTCAAGAATTACAACCTCAATTGAATCGTTTAAGTCGTTTCCAATAGCTGAGTCGGCTACCAAAGTACTTTGTATTTTCTGATGCGAGTCTTACATACGAAAATCAAAAAAATATCGATGATGTTACCTTAGCACACTGGGCCCATAACCTGTTGTGATATTTTTGTTTAAATTATATTTAAATTGTTGTGATATTTTATAAAAGTGAGGTGATGTTTTGCTAAGCAAAGAAAAAAGTATTACAGAATAAAAACCGGATGCAAGAGAGAGCTTTTTAACATAAAATAAGTGTTTACAAAACCAATAAAAGTTTCTATCCCAAAAACGTAGTATTAGGATGTTACAAAAATGTTTAAAATGTTTAAGCGTAATATTCAACACATAAAATACGTATTATTGAAGAGTGTTTATGTAGGGTCAAACGATCTTCAATGTGGTTGGTTTGCAGCAAATTTCCGTTATGATAAGGTGTCCAGATAACTGCATGTGTTGTTTGGCTGCCAACTGAGTAATGCATTAAAACTCTGAAAACAATAAGTGAACTTTAGTGATAAACATAATTTTGTATTGTAATATTGTATTTTGATGTTGTAAATAAGAAATTGTTTTCATGAATCGATCAACAAATAGAAGCTCAATTTATCCAAATCGAGTAATTCTGGGGTTTTCGAGATACAAAACAATTAGCGAGGAATCGCAATTGGCATTCTTAAAGGAAACTTTGTTCTATATCTATTTTATTCCAACATTGTTTTTTTAAATATTTGGTTACTTTACTATTTTAATTGTTAATAACCATTGAAATTTGTTTTTCATTAATAAACAATTTTCTTTTGCAGGATTCTTTTCTAGGGTTCTAGGTTGTCTTTTGCGGGGTTGTTTTATAACAACAAATGCTTATGAACAATAATCGATACCAATATTTTTTTTTTATTTTTTCAAAACCTGCATTTATTTTTTGCATCTTCTCTTAGAATAAGACTAACAATAAGTTGTAAAATCTTATTACTTATAACATAATAATACAATTTTTATTTTAACTATACATGGCATAATATAAAATAAAATAAGTAAACCTTAAATGATGGACCTCATTTAGATTGGTGGTTTGAATGTCATTGGAATGAGTGTGAGGTGGTTTATTAAGAAATCAAATTAAATTTATGAGATTACTAAAAATACGAGAGGGGTATTTACTTGAATCTATTGAATTTTAATTAATGGCTGGACGGTCAGCTCTTTTTAGGCAGGAAATAATGGTTTGAAATGGAAGATTCCCCGCTAAGGGGTTAATTTAAAAAAAATTAATATAAAACCATTATAACGGACAATAAAAATAAGAAGAATTTTTGTGGCTAATTATTTCAATATATAAATTGAAAATTTGATATCTGAAAATTATTAAAGGTAGTTATTTAGATTGTTAAATACTTTATAAACCAAGCCTTATGAACGTATAAAT